ATTGATAGCAATACTATCCTTAGTCCTATAAACAGGAATGAGATAATTGATTGCAATACTACATGAGAAGGTATTTTATACCTTAAAGTCCTCCTTTGGACTCCCTGGGTGGTGCAAACGGTTAACGTGCTCGGCTGCTAATCAAAAGGGTGGAGGTTCAAGTACACCCAGAGGTGCCTCGGAACAAAGTCCTGGTGATCTACTTCTGAAATATCAACCAAATGGAGCACAGTTCTACTCTGACATGGGGTGGCCGTGAGTTGGGGTTGACTCATGGCAACTGGTTCCTTCAGTCCTTCTTTAAAGGACTAGGGGTTAGCCATGCAGCAAGAGTTTTAATAGAGTTACTGTTATGGTTAACCAGGGTACTAATGCTATTTCAGATCACATGCAGGTTGGGTGAAAGGACAGGAATGAGAGAAAAAGTAGTAAAAGGAACTCCTACAGAAAGGAAGCTAGAAGACAAAAGTCTACTGTGTTATTTATCTTTTGATTATTGGTTCATATTAGCTATATATGCACTCTGGTACTAAATCCACTGTCACTTGTATCTGTTGCAATCTTCCTCCAGTGTTTGGCTTGTATTTTCACTCTCTAAAGAATCTTTTGAATGAACTCGGTTTCTTAACTTTAATGTATATTCCTCAATCTTTTCCTTTATGTTTTGTGCTTTTTGTACCTTGCTTATGAAAATCTCCCTGACCCTGACATCAAAAAGCTTCAAAACTTTTCTATCTTTGCTTTTCACATTTAAGAGTTCCAGTCATCTGTTCACATCAAGATATTTAGAAACTTTTTTTTCATCTACATGGAGCCCTGGTGGTGCAGTGGTTAAGTGTTCGGCTGCTAACCAAAAGGTCAGCAGTTCAAATTCACTAGCTACTCCTTGGAGGCCCTATGAGGCAGTTCTACTCTCTCCTATAGGGTCGCTATGAGCAGGAATTGACTCAACGGCAACAGGTTTATGGAGATTTCTATTTATCTTTCTGTAACTGATTACTAATTTAATTGCATTAGGGTC